AGGCACTTGAACTGAGCAAGGTGATTTATCGTGTCGTAGGCACTTGAACTGAGCAAGTCGATTTACCGTGCCGTAGGCACTTGAACTGAGCAAGGTGATTTACTGTGCCGTAGGCACTTGAACTGAGCAAGTCGATTTACCGTGTCGTAGGCACTTGAACTGAGCAAGTCGAGTTATTGTGCCAGCAGGCACCCGGATTGAGTATCATTGCGATTTACTGTGCCAGCAGGCACCTAGATTGAGTATCATTGCGATTTATTGTGCCAGCAGGCACTCAGATTGAGTATCATTCCCGAGTTATTGTGCCAGCAGGCACTCAGATTGAGTATCATTGTCGAGTTATTGTGCCAGCACGCACCCAGATTGAGTATCATTGCGATTTACTGTGCCAACAGGCACTCAGATTGAGTATCATTGCGATTTATTGTGCCAGCACGCACTCAGATTGAGTATCATTGAGGAGTTATTCTGCCAGCAGGCACTTAGATTGAGTATCATTGCGATTTATTGTGCCAGCAGGCACTCAGATTGAGTATCATTGACGAGTTATTATGCCAGCAGGCACCCAGATTGAGTATCATTGCAATTTATTGTGCCAGCAGACACTCAGATTGAGTACCCTGATTTTGCTGTGCCAAGGGGCACCCAGACTGAGTAGACCGATTTTGGTATGCCAAGGGGCACTCAGATCGAGTACACTGATTTTGCTGTGCCAGATGAATGAAAAGCGACTGTGCGCACTCAAACTTGAGTGCGACACTGCGCCCTTTATTTGAGAAAGCCAATGATGCATATGCGACTGTGCGCACTCAGATTTGAGTGCGACACTGCGCTTATTCTCTGAGAAACCCACTTGAATGATCTTGAGTATATGCGACTATGCACACTCAGATTTGAATGCGACACTGCGCTCTTTATCTGAGAAAACCCGCTTTGATGATTTTGAGTATGTGCGACAGTGCGCACTTTATCTGTAAATTTGGCATGACGATTTTGAACATGTGCAACAGTGTGCACTCAATTTGAAAACTCAGCATTGATCTTTTCCGAGCAAGCGTGACTGTGCGCACTCGAATTTAAGTGTGACACTGCATGATCAATATGCAAAATTAGACTTTGATGATTTTGATTTCGTGTGACAGTGCGCACTCAATCTGTGGAGTTTTGCTCAATCTGTGTACACTGCTTCTGATGATTCTGAGTGCGTGCCCAACCTCATTTTGGCTGTTTGAGTGCGCGCCCCGCCTCAGTTTGGCCGTTTGAGTGCGCACCCAGCCTCAGTTTGGCTGTTTGAGTGCGCGCCCAGCCTCAGTCTGGTAGTTTAAGTGCGCACCCAAGCTTGGCACTGTTCTTAGAGTGCGCGCCCATGCGCGCCCAAGCTTGGCATTGTAGTTAGAGTGCGCGCCCATGCGCGCCCAAGCTTGGCCTTGCAGTTAGAGTGTGCGCCCATGCTCGCCCAAGCTTGGCATTGCTGTTAGAGTGCGCGCCCAAGCTTGGCACTGCTGTTAGAGTACGCGACCATGCGCGCCCAAGTTTTACACTGCTGTTAGAGTGCGCGCCCAAGCTTGGCATTGCAGTTAGAATGCGCGCCCATGTGCGCCCAAGCTTGGCATTGCAGTTAGAGTGCACGCCCATGTGCGCCCAAGCTTAGCATTGTTGTTAGAGTGCGCGCCCATGCGCACCCAAGCTTGGCATTGCTGTTAGAGTGCGCGCCCATGCGCGCCCAAGCTAGGCATTGATTGTTAGAGTGTGCGCTCGTGCGCGCCCGAGCTCAGTATCGCTATATGAGCATGCGCCCGTGTGCGCCCGAGCTCGGTATTGCTATATGAGTGTGCGCCTGTGTGCGCCCAAGCTCGGTATCGCTATATGAGTGTGCGCTCATGCGTGCCCGAGCTCGGTATCTCTATATGAGCGTGCGCCCGTGTGCGCGCCCAAGCCTGATATTGTCATTTGAGTATGCGCTCACGTGCGCCCATGATCTGTATTGTTGTTTGAGTGCGTGCCTATAAGTGCCCAAGCTCGTTATTGCAGCAAGAGTGTGCGCCCATGCGCCCCCGAGTTAGATATAGTCATTTGAGTGCGCGCCCATGCGCACGCACTCAAACAGCGAAACTGAGGTTGGGCGCGCACTCAGAATCATCAGAAGCAGTGTACGCAGATTGAGCAAAATTCTACAGATTGAGTGCGCACTGTCACACACAATCAAAATCATCAAAGTGGAGTTTTGCATATTGATCATGCAGTGTCACACTCAAATTCGAGTGCGGACAGTCACGCTTGCTCGAAAAAGATCAATGTTGAGTTTTCAAATCGAGTGCACAGTGTTGCATATGTTCAAAATCGTCATGCCAAATTTACAGATAAAGTGCGCACTGTCGCACATACTCAAAATCATCAAAGCGGGTTTTCTCAGATAAAGAGCGCAGTGTCGCATTCAAGTCTGAGT